AGATCCGGTCCCTACGCGGCTCCAGAACGGCGGGTTCGACTCAAGGACGCACTTCCCTTCCGTCTTCCTTCACACCGGGATAAGGAGCGCCGCGTTCACCTGGCAGAGGCCGGAGGAAAGGGAAGGCTTCCCTCAACGCTCGCCACCCGTCAAAGCCCACAGCCACGCGTACCAGCTCACAAGCCCCGCGCCGTAACGACAACTCCGCCACAGTCCCCTTGAAAATTCAAACTCCAACCGCCGCCAGCCTCCTCCCCATTGGCCACCCACTTCACCACGCCCTGTCTGATTGGTTCCGCCCCGAGCCCGCCCTGCCGCACCGCTGCATCATGGGAATTAGGTTTTCCCCTAAGTGGCTTGCGCTGCTGGCAGGCAGGGAGACGTAATTAATTTTAAAATTAATAACCTTATAATTAATCTAATCTAAAACTATGCTCCACATCGTCTTCCTTGCTCAGCTCTGGTACTCGTCTGTCCAGACAGCGGCTCTGCCAACGACAGAAATCTGACGATTTCTCCAGTTTAATTCTCTGCCAGACAAAAAGAAAATAATTCTATTATTTTCTCTGACGGGAGCACTCTTTTCGGCATGAAACTAGCTGCTAGCTGGGCTTTGTTGTCACAGAATACCTCACTCTTCGGGTATTCCTATCAAATGCAATGCAGCATTTGAGACCCCCAAACTGTCTCCAAGTAACCTCTTTGGTTGGAACAAAAGAAAGTCTACAGCTCCGGCCCCAGCTTCAGCATTGCTGTGTTAATGTGATGCTCAACCCGGTTAATTACCTTCTCTCCTACAGCATTGCAAGAGAGAACCAATTAGCTCAACGGGCTGCAGTAATATCGCTGTACTGCTTCCAGTGCCAGGACACGACTGTGCACTGAGACCAAATTCTTCTGGTCCGCCCTTATTTACATGGTATAGGCATGGCCTCAGAGTTAGCAACATAATAAGATGGCTGAAGTTCATTACAGCTCCCCACACCAGTTTCAAGTTCTTCAGCACTGGCTTGCGTTCCTGCAGGCTAACTGAAATGAGTTAGGGCTAGTTGTTTCCCTCTGTAAGTGAAAGTTGAGATCTAAATAAAATCCAGTATCTTCAGGGTCTTAAATGCACAGATGTCTTGCTCCTTTCTGCATTCTATATCTGCAAAAACTGAAATATGAGGCAGCTGGAAAAAAAATGCCTTAGACATGGACCCTTCACTGTTTAGATATTCCATAGCGTTCATATGATATCAGTAAAAGGCATGAGTCCTGTGAGTGCAAGTATGCAACACAAACACAGGATAATCACAGCCTGATATTTGTGGATACGGAGTATTTTAACACGATGCATATTAGCATAAATCCGTCTTCATTAGTATTCTACACACAAGGAACAATGTAGGGTGCTTCAGAAATGTGGTAGTTCAAGGACTCGGTGACAGCTGACACTGCTGGGTGCAAAAAAAAAGTTCAGCCTAAGATGGGTGCTTCACAACATCCAAAAGCTAGGAAAACCCATTTAGTGCTGAGATCTTCGTGAGAGTGCACCTACTTTTTCTCTAACACATCTTTTGTTTGATGTGTTACGGGAGTACTCCAAGACCTTCAGCTCATGGAGTTTCAGAGGGGACTAACCCTTGTTATAATAACCAATTTCCAACAGACCATTATCTAAGCTGTTTGAAAAGGAAAAGATAAGGAATGGGAGCAGAACTCTTGAGCAGCTCTTGGGGACAAGGTACAACACATTAAGATATAACATGTTTAGACTGAATGCTAGATCTCTGTTGTTCTAAAATTATTATCTAAATCTGAATTTTTACCCTTCCACCTACATTAGCCTGCAGGACATTCATGTGATGAGTATCGCCACTGTTGTAAGTAGAACTTTTGTTTCAGAACGTTGTGGTCAGCATGGGTTTATAAAACTCTGGATCTGTGTGGTGAATCACCTGTTGCTGAATATTGCCCTGAATAAGATTTCTGAGAATATGTATCCTTTTTGATAATTGAAGCTGGCTTTCATTCTATTCTTGAATTCTGGCTCAGATACAGAGCTGTATGTGTGTGCTGCAACATGTCCAGCTAACAGAAATAAGAACAATAACCCAAAGCTAAACCTAGTGGCAAATGCTTAAATTTTATGAAAATCTCAACTTTCTACAACAGTGACTGTCTGGGACAAGAGTCCTCCAAGTCTGAGTTGAATCAAAGTTGGTTGTTTTTTTTTAATCGTATATACACACAAGTCTTAGAACTCGGTATTTTTATCTAGTCAGATGGTAGTGAAGGAAATCTTGTGAAATCTTGAACACAAGTCAGTGAGTTTATGTGACTTTCTGATTTTATAATGTAAAATTTGACTGTGTTGAGCCACAAACAGGGGAGGAGGCTTTAGGAGGAAAACTTCTTGCACATACGGTAGAACAGAGAATTTTCATTGAGAAACACATATTTCCCACCCCCACCAGATCTTTGTGCTTGTTTTGACTGTTTCAGCTACTGCCTTTGCTGCTGTAAACACCACCATCTTTTGGATCATTCCCTCTTTTAAGAGCTAAAGATGGTACTGTAGTCTCTGAAATACAATTTTTATCTCAGTATTACTACTGGCTCACCGCTCACCACAGGACATTTTTGCAGCCTCAGTTTTTATTGTAGTTTCAAATCTGTTCCTTTGAGTCTATTTGGTGAACTGCTTTGTTTTTATTCATTGGATAAAATACGTATTTATGAAAACTAAAGGCCATAATTTACTTAAAGTGCACGTGATGTAGGTGATCCCATTTCTTTAAGTTTCCATTCACAGGTCTGCTGAGGTCAGTTTTACTCTTATGAGGACTTAGTAACCAACTAATGAAAAAATAAATTCTACAAACCTGAATAAAATGGAATTTATTTTTTTAAAGGAAAAAGAATCCATTTTAGAGCTAAAGACACTGTATATCCAAGACAAATCAGGTTAAAATGGGTCTTCTACAGCTGTCTGTTTATAATTTGGAAGTTTTTCTTTGAGTTCAAGAATAATTTTCTCTGGATTATGCAATTGAAGAGATGAAGGTTCATTATTGCTTCAGAAAAATGCTAGGTAGTTCTGCTATCCTACATACGAAGAGGAAACATCTCCAGTTATCTTCCATCCCTTCAAAACTAAACCAGAAAGTGTCCTCTGCACTCCAATTAGCCATGTACCAAAGGCATTTTTCTCTTGGAGGCAAAAAAATCAAATGGATGCACGTGCTGTCAGCTATGCCAGTGAAGACTTGATGAAATCCATGAGGTTATTCAGTTCGAAATGGGGACAGAATTTGGGCTAGCAGAAATGGATTTTCAGACACCTGGGAATTTTTTTGTTTGCTTCTGTTGCTCCCTGAAGGTAAAATGTCTGTGCTTTAGTGCTTCATTTTTCAAATTCCCTGCTTGCTTCTGCTGATTTTTAATTCAGCTTTACAGTTTTCCCTGGCAGCCAAGAAGGGACGTTGCATCTTTTCTTTTTAGAAGCTGAGAACGAAAATGAAATGGCCACTTCTTAGGTGTGTGTTAGTCCAGGAGAGAGCTTAAAGCTCAGGAACATCAGGCATCATCTTCCTTTGGCAGCTGTCATCTCTGCAATGCATTTCAGTCTCCCCTCAGCTTCCATCTGTAATCTCAAATCCACATCTACCACCGTCACACTGAAACTGCTATTTTCCTCCCTGCAGATTTGCTGACAACTGAACAAATTTTCCTGCCCTGTTAAGCCAGGGTTAAGCTAACGGTGGACAAAACTCCTTAGAATCATGCCCTGCACGGTCATTCACTGTAGATCACAAAATCATCACAGAATGGCTCGGTTGGAAAAGACCTCTGAGATCATCACGTCCAACCATTCCTGTCTACCCCCTAAACCATATCCTTAAGCACCTCGTCTACCCGCTCCTTAAATACATCCAGGGATGGTGACTCCACCACCTCCCTGGGCAGCCTGTTCCAGCCTTTGACGACCCTCTCAGTAAAGAACTTCCTCCTTAGCTCTAACCTGAACCTCCCTTGGCACAGCTTGGTGCCGTTTCCCCTTGTTCTATCCCCCATCACCTGGGAGAAGAGACCAGCACCCACCTCTCTACAAGCTCCCTTGAGGCAGTTGTAGGTGGTGATGAGGTCTCCCCTCAGCCTTCTCTTCTCCAGGCTAAACAAGCCCAGTTCCCTCAGCCGCTCCTCATCAGGCTTGTTCTCCAGAGCCCTCCCCATCCTTGTGGCTCTTCTCTGAACACGCTCCAGAATCTCAAAATGTTACTCTTTGCTGTTGCAGGAAAATAAGTCTGAGAATAATTGTGCATCTTACATTGCAACACATTGTTTCAAAAATCTTAGAACTGGTGTTGCATTAGAAGAAATACAAGAACTCTGAGTCAGATTCCCACGTTACATGCAGTATGTCAGTATATTTTAAGTCTGAAACAAATTTAGAGAATCTAGATTCTTTAATTCATTCTTCTACAAGAGAGAGAACAAAAGAAAAAGGTACCCAAAACCCAAGTTTGGAAACAGGATGTAGAGCCAGGGAAGGGGTGGTGAGGATCAGCATCACAAGTGATGGCTCAAGAACATTTTCCCTTGGGCTGTCCTGTCCATCCAGGTGCAGGTGAAGGAAGACAGCCCCAACCTCCTGCTGTCCCACTCTCTCAGCACCGTCCTGACCCTGGCAACCCTGGCTTCAGAACCTCAAGAATGGCATAAAGAAGACGAGCAGTCACATTTCACTCTCCCTGCCATGTCCAGTGAGATCTTCTGATGTGGCACATCAATGAAGTCACGGCACTGGTGGCATCCATTCTGTGGCTGCAGCTAGCCCTGTAATTCATACACTCACTGTACAAATCACAATTGGGTTCTGCAAATGCATGCTGTCTTTGTGTGGGGCTGTTATCCCAAGAGAGGGAAGGTCAGTGAAACCTTCCTTTTTTTTTCAATTCACCAACCGTGCTCTGACAGAAGGGTCGAGTGGAGGAAGGAGTTGGCAGAAGCTCCTTCACTTTCTGCTTTCTCATTCAAGCGGTGTAGAATAAAAGACATACCTTTGCTGTCCACGTGATGGCAATATTTGAACACTCTTTTTCCCTTCTGAGTGCTGTGGTTTAGCTTTTGTCTTAACAAGCACAAACGTCTGGCTATTTCCAGTATGAATTTTGCAGGATAAAAACCCAAGAAGATAAAAGTTTGTGGGGGGACAAACTGAGCAGCTGAGGCTGCAGAGGAATGAATTGCCAACAGGGAGCCTGGCAGGTGAGTGGCACATCGATAGGATTTCAATTGCATGCCAGCAGAGAGAAGCCAGAGCACCAACAGCCAGCGACTGCAAACTGAGGGTGCCTGGCTTCAAACAGTATGCCAACACAAAAGGCCAAAAGCATGAGAAGCACAGCAGTGGGGCGAAGGTGAATGAGTACATATTGCAAATTAAGGGAGCTCATAAATCAGTGTGCCAACACAAGTGCCCGGAAGCCCAAAAAACACAGCAGCAGAGGGAAGACAAACTGTCAACAGCATGCCAACGGACAGGAATAGATTACATATGGCACAGCAATGAGGGAAGTGGAGCAGCTACACTGTGTCAGCCCCCACAGACTGCCTTCTGCTGGAAACCATTCAGTTCAGTTGTTCGTCATAGGTATCATGAAACAGTCTTCTGGACGAGCAGAAAATTATTTTTTCTTTCTCCAGGTGTGTAGAAAGGAGAGTTAAAGAAGGATAGTCCACAAGAGTGCAGTTTCTGAATGTAAAAGTGAGAGGAAATTTGTATTTCCAGTAATCCCAAGGCTAGCAAAATGCTGCAGGAAATGAGGAGGGAAACAGTAGCTGCTTGTTTAGGGAAACTGCCAGGAAAATAGCTTGGGTTACTGGTGTGGGGAGTGAGAGGGAAGACACCCTTCCCCTGGGCACATTCAATAATAAGATTTTCTTCAGATGACCTACTGCTACCTGTAGCAGCCACTCCACTGAGGATTGCTGCTACAACTGGAGGGAACTGGTCAAACACAGTTGCAGAGCTCACCGACCCAGCTCTTGCCCTCCATCACTGGTGCCTATAGCTGCTATTCCAGCCATCCAGGTAGGTGGAGAAGCATCTTTCCCTGCCTGGACTTTGCAGGCCTGGGTTTAGCCAGCTTTGAGAGAGGTATTTCTGCTCTAGGGCAGCTGGTCTAGGGGAGCTGTGTGTGCACACGTGTGTGTCCCTTCACTGCAGTGGTGGTATCATCTTTGGTAACAGCACGTGTGGCCAAATTCGCCATACTGCTACAGATACCAGACTGGCACCCCCTGACTGCACATACCCAGCTGCATCAGGACTGATTTGAGCCTGTCCCCTGTCCCTTGCTTTCAGTAAACAAGTCTGTCTGTGTCAGCATTTCTCTCAGAAATGTTTTTCCTGGTTCATTAGAGGCAGATGGGATCTGGCACTCAGCAGTTCTCCTTCCCAATGCCAGTTAGTCATTTTTCAGGTCATTATGCCTTAAAATAATTCAAAGCTCCTTATTAATGCATTGAGGCAGGACTGACCAATTGCAACCCATATAACAGAGCTGTGGATAACGATAACTGGGTTCTGATAACCACTGGTCCCAGTTGCAGAAAACTGAGGCAGAGGGGCTGGTGAACATCAGGTTGCTTTTATCTGCACTTTGCTCATTCTCTCAAACCTCCTTTGTCCTTTCCAGTCTCTTCCCACACCCACATGGGTTCGAAAGCACAGTGCTGTGTCTGTCCCCTTTGCCCACCTGATGTGGAGCACTTGCTGCTGCATTAGTGCAGCCTCTGCTTCTTAGTTCAGCTTTCTGTTTTGCTTCCACAGAGACCATCCCTTCTTCCATTTGAGCTGGGTTATGGCAGCCGCTGAGGTGGGACACAATCCTGCATTGCCAAAATGATTCCTAATCAGCCAGGCACTTAGCACCACTGAACCATGGTAAATGCTGATTCTTAGTGCACAGCAAGCCAGTGACACATTTTTGGATCTCTACCCAGAGATGAAAAAAGCAAATGCCTGGAGTGCGTCAGAGTAGAAGCACTCCAGCTTCACCTATCCATCGGCAATCCTCCTCTGAGCAGCATCAGCTGGGAGGGCAAGCTGGGCTCTGCCCTTACCCTTGCATTGGGCTGGGAATTAGCAACCACCAGAGAGTTCTCACAGTTCCATGGGAAATATTTGCTGGAGATAGCCCTGTGCTACTGGAGGAACCATACTTACATGGCAAACACAGGGCACACTCCCCACCCTCCATTATCAGATAAATTTCACTTGTAATTTCTGGGCAAATAGCTTTATTGCAGTGAGGAGGAAAGATTTCCACAGCTCAGTCCACACCTTCAGCAAAAGTGCGTCTCCTGAAGTCCACACGACAAGGGCAGCTCTCCTCAGGGAAAGGAGAGTAGAACTGAGCACGAGCAACACTGGGACAGGGAGATGTACAGAAATAAGCTATGGATCAAGAGGATAAAAGACTCCTTGGAAATAATTTGTACTTTGGTGTACATGTAGATCCCAGCAGCCATGCTTTGGTTTCTCTCTCCCAAGGGTTTATCTGCAGCAATGACAG